CACGAAGAATGTGCTCAGCTGTTTCCTCTTCTTCATTGCATCCACGACAGATTGGGTCTGTTACCACCCCTATCGTATATAGATGTTTGTTAAACTGGTAATGTCCCGTAAGGAATCCTACCAGTTTACGCAGTTTGTCCCTTGAAAGTGAGAGATAAAATTTCGTCAACTTACGGTGTGGTGTCGCCATACAAGCTCTACTATGCCGACAGCTGCTCAACTTCACCCATATCTGCTCATGGCGTCTCTGGGTATATTGCTTTACGAGTTCGTTCGAGAGGGCGACCGAAGGCGTGATTGCCGGTTCGGGTCCCCAGAAGGGCATGCGCGCGGCTCGCTTCGCCATCTCATCTGCCCTCTCGTTTCCTTCGTTGCCACTGTGTCCTTTGATCCAACAAAGTTCCACACTATTCCTCTGCGTTACATACTTTAGCGTTTGTCTGCACTCCCAAACCAGCCCGGATCGAACCATACAGCTGTCCAGGGCTAGTAGTGCAGACTTGCTGTCAGTAAGTATGCGTATTGATTTGTTGCCGATTTCACGTTCAGCAATGATTCTAGCTCCCAGCATTATTCCCATCAGTTCTGTTTGTAAGACAGACGTGTGGGTGCCGAGAGGTACACTGATTTGTGCGTTCAGTTGTTCAGAGTAGATGCCGGCTCCTGAACCACTATCTGTTTTGGCACCATCGACATAGATATCTATGTCGGCTCGTCCTTCTGAATTATCATTCATTGATATTCTATATGTCTTCTCATATATTAATTTTGTGCCCATTCGGTCACAACCCATCCTTAACAAGGGTATTCTGTTGAACGCCTCCGTTAAGATCCGAGTGTGCTTCGTTGTGCGGCCTTGTTTGTTCCATACTCCCAGAGAGTGAAGTCTTAGAGACGTCGTCATAGCCGCTTCCTCTATGTAAAGGTTAAGAGGTGCTAAGCAAAGAAGAGTCTCCAGAGCCGCTGTGGGAGTGGTCCTCATTGCTCCTGTAACACTGAGACACGCCATTCTCTGAACGTGTTCAAGTTGCAGGGCTGTTGTTTTTTGTCTGGCTCTGGGCCACCAAACTAAAGCTCCATAGCACAGTCGCGTATCCAATTGTGTGGTAGCCAAGATCATTGAGGCGTCGTATCAGGCTGTCAACGACAGTATCCCACAGTACAGGAGAGAGAACTCCTCCCTGAGGACATCCCCTGTCTACAACAGCCTCGATCTCAGTGCCACCTACATTAATCATTACTTCCCTGTTCCTCAGCATACCGGCCATCCACCTACTTAGGGAGGGGTCCACGTCGTGCTCTCGTAGGGCTAGCTCTATGCTTTTGAAAGTCGTTTTATCAAACGCTCCTTCAATATCCAAAAACATTCCTAAGGTGAAGAGTTTGTTCTCCATCGCCCACTCTATACGGTTTACAACTGTGTGTAGGGCCGTATCGGTGGATCTTCCTTGGATGTAGGCATGTTGGTTCGGATGTAGAGGTTGCTTGCTCAAAGCAGTCTCCCGAATCTCTTTTTCGCTTAGTCTTTCTAGCGTTTTCAGCAAGAATGATGTTAAGCTAATTGGTCTGTAGGATTTAGCCAAAGTGTAATCTTGTCGTCCTGGCTTAGGTATAAAGATAACCTTTACTTTTCGCCACGCATTCGGTATGTAGCTGAAAGCCAGACACGCCCGAAGCATTGGCAACAAAATAGGGCGTAGTCTGCTCATTCCCCTCTGCAGGAGGGCGGGATAAATACCGCCAACTCCTGGAGATTTGTATGGGGAAAAGCTGTCCACTGCCCACTCCAGTCTTGCCTCCGTGACTACCTTTGCAGCCAGCGCCCAGTCCTTCGGGGAAGGTTGAGTACCGACTACATCCCTTTTGGAATGGGAGGTAGTCCGTGTGCTGCCTGGAAACATGGTCTGCAGCAAAAGTTCTGCCGACTCTTCTAAGGTGGCTGTAAAGGTGCCATCTTCTTTCTTTAGGAAACCTAGTTGATGTGTGTGGTCCTTCGAGAGAACTCTCTTCAGCCTTGCGGCCGAAGCAGTCGACGTTATGTCGCTGCAGAAGGATCTCCACGTTTCCCGTTTCCTCTTTCTTAATTCTTTCTTAAACTCTTTCCGGTGCTCTTTATAGGCTTCCCAGTCTTCAGTTTTCTTAGTGTTTTTTGCTCTATTGAAAAGTTTTCTTAGCCCCGATTGAAGTAGGCTGAGCCTTCGGTTCCACCATGGTGTACCTTTGCCCAGACCTTCCTTCTTTAGGGGGCAACTTTTCTCATACGCTGACATTAGAGAGTCGTTGATAATGGTCAAGGTTTTCTCTATGTCTTCTGTCGAACTGTATTCTGTTGGTATAGACTGCACGGAGGTCCCCAGTCTGTCGTCCAGTTCTTCGTTGTATAAAGCCCAGTTCGTCAGCCTAGGGTTCCTGTACGTCTTTATCTCCATGTCTATACATTTTGATGTATACATGATCCATCTATGGTCTGACACTGACGCCTCTTTAGAGACGTGCCATCCCATTATATATTGTGAGATATCCCATGTAGCCAGTGTAATATCTATTACTGACTGACTACGTGATGTTACGAAAGTTGGTTCGCAGCCTCGGTTGAGAATCTCTAGATTTGTTGATAAAAGATATTCAGCTAGTGTTCTTCCTCTATCATTAGTGTCTTTGCTCCCCCACAACAGACAGTGGGCATTCGCATCGGCACCGATGATGAGGTTTATATTTCCGGTATCACAGTGTTCCACCAAGTTCGCCATTTCCCATGTTGGACATGGTTCCTGTGCTCCCTGTGGTAAGTACACGGATGCTATTACCAGTTGCTCTTCGCCTCTTCCTATGTTACACTTAACATTTACCGCAGTCACATCCCTGGAGCTGACCTGAAGTAGGAGGACGGCTTTAATTTTCCTCGGAATGTAGACGCATGTCCTTGGAGATACTATTGTGGTACCTGAAACAACAGTGCCATTTAAATTGCTCAACCCTGCGATCCTGGATTTTACTATCCATGGTTCTTGGATTATTGCTATAGTGTTCTGCATCTTGTCTAGACGACGACACAAAACAGACGTCGCCATGCGACAACGCTGCAGGTTAATCTGAATGAAATTTATCTGCTGCAGCGCCATCTCTGCAACCAAAAATCCCATAATTGTCCTAGGAGACACGAGGCACATGTCTCAGGCGGGCCCGCCCCCACTGGTAGAGGCTTCATCCCCTGGGGTTTCTACCGCTTCCATAGGGGTCCGCCCTTCCTTAGCCGACGCCTCGTTCTCCTTGAGTTTCAGGTTGAAAGAGGACAGCATATAATTGATTCTGCCCTCTCTCTCCCTGATTATCTTGGCCTCTTCCATCCCAAGACCAAACACAAAGAGGTTGTCTGGAGAGGCAGCCTCGGGTTTGGCCTCGCGATGGAAAAGAAGCCATTTTTTGACGTTGGCCCATTGGTTCTGACCCTCCAGGCGGCGAAGTACGACTCCTGCGTCCACCGGTGGTCCCGGTATCCACAGGGTCGCCCTCACCAGCCTTGGTAGGTCAGCCAAGGGGACCACGTTAAGTTGTGCGCCCTCCCACAAGGGTGTTAGGGAGCGCACTGTTTGTTGTAGCCATTTCAGGGACAACTCGTCTTCACAGGTTATCCTTAGGATTTCCCCTGTGTACTTCATGCCCCTGAAAGTGGCTGCTTGTCTACCCGATGCCAAGCACTGGTCAAGTTGCTTGTCCAGCGCTCCCATCAGGCCCTTTTGTACTATCTCCACCTGGTCAGCAGTCAGCTTACCAAGTGGATGCTGCACATCAATCACAGCTACACGGAGATGACTTGCAGCCGCCTCCCTGTAGCTCTGTTTTCTAGAGGTAGTCTCCTGCCTCCTCATCCTCTTTTGCTTTTCAGCTGCCGGAGCTGTGGAGGTTGAAGACCTCACTCTCTTCTTTGACCCTGAGGTCTTTTTCCCCGCGGGTTGTTTACACTGTAAAAAATTTTTGGGGAAAATTACATCAAAAATAGGAGGCAACTTTTCTACTCCTATTGTTAATGTAAACTTACACTACTGTTGCAATTTTACCTATTGCGTGAATATTACTTTTTTGGAAGGTAATATTAAATTCACATGGGTAAAATTCACCAACGCATTTACATGCAGAGATGTAATAATACAATGGTTGGGTAAAATTCACCACAGTAATTACATTTTTTATGTAATTACGATGGTGAATTTTACCCAACCATTGTGTTATTACATCGCTGCATGTAAATGCGTTGGTGAATTTTACCCTACAAATGTAATGTTACATCACGAAGAGTTAAAATTGAAATTCATTTGTAATTGCATTAGTGACTTTTACCGATCGATTGTGCCCATTTTCTACATCGCTAGGTAAAATTTTCACAGTAAGTAAAGTTACACAAATAATAGAAAAAGAAAAGTTGCCTCCTATTTTTTTCCATTTGTATTTCTTTTTTCATTAAACTTACGCCATCACTGAAAAAATACCTGTTCCTATAACTTTATAACCATTGATTTGGTAGGACCTCGACAGCTCGCATCTAAAATTGTTTTGTGTCGCGAGGAGAGTATTCATTACCTTAAAACTATTAGTTTTGTGAATAGAGGTTTACAAGTAGGTATACTTACGCGCATTCTCATAAAGTCATTTCATTAATATTCTTTTTTATATATTTACCATAACAGTTTTTCTTGTTAGTACTGCAGGTTAATAATTGGATCTCTTCAGGTACCTCTTGAGCGTGGCTTTAAAAAACTGCAAAAGTTTGAGTGTATGAATTAAAATGAGTTGCAAATAATAAGTGGTCTACACTTTGAACACTAGGCACTGCAAAGATAGTAAAAAAACAAGATATATATTTGACTTAAAGAGCGTAAGTCAAAGTTTTTTTTTTAACCTTAGAAGTTATCCATATTTTGGTGGAGTGCAGTTAGGAAGAGTACACACTACATTTTTTAACATATTTTTTATTTTTATTAAAAAAATAATATAAACTCCCTTATAAATGAAAAATAGTAATAACTTCGAAAAATTACAAAAAAAAAACTCTTGCCATATTACTACGGCTTTTTTTATTCATCGCGCAACTTGTTAATCAACGAAATGATCTTCATTTTAGAAGCAGTCTTCTTATTCTTGGTTCCAACGTCGGGATGGATTTTCATCATGTATCGTTGAATAAATTCTAGTGTATTTGAAGTTTGTTTTGGGTATTCTAAATTAAAGTTATAATATATAGCAAACAACTGCAACAATGCATCTTTAAAATAACAAGAACCCCCATTAAGAACTTCATTTTCCATCACGACATGGTAAACAGTGCTTCCTTCTAAGAAATAAATTTCAAAATATTAAACAACAAAAATACAAAAAACCAAACCTTTATGAAAGCCTATAATACTGGGAGCGTTCATGCCTTTTCCTATGTCAGACTCGTCCTAAAGAAAATTATTACAAGAGCGGACTAGACTTTAAAAAAATACTCACGTTTACTATGCAGTATAAGGCATTTGGAGGTTCAGAAAAGAACATACAAAGTACAACCATGACTTTAATGAATTTGTCATTTTCATCAGTGAGGGATTCATCATTTATGTAATTTTTCTTCCTGCCGAATTTTAAAATTTTTTCTGACTTAGTAATTAAAGCCTCATAAAGCACATTGATATTTTGAGACATTAATTTTTCGTAATGCCAGAAAATCCCAGCAGGACACAAAAGAACTGGCCATTCTTGTCTTATAGTTTTCAAAGCAGGTGGTTCAGCCGAATTTAAAAAAAGTCTTTGAGCTAGGTAGCTCTTTTCGAGTAAGTCCAGAATCTCTGGCTCTAATGCCACACACTTAATATCAATTGTTTTTAACTGCTCTTTAATATTTTCCGTAACGTCCACTGGGTGTTCTTCAACATGTGGTTGCCAATTAGAACAACCTGCTTTAGAAGCCAACATTTTCTTTCTTTTCTTAAGTGAAATTGGAGAGGGTGCATCAGACCTCTCAGCAGAGCTGCGTCTGTTTACATATTTAAAATGTTCTCTTAATTTGGAAAAAATCGAGTGAGATCCATCGCCGTAAACATGACCATCTTCGTCAATATCTTGAAAGGTTTTGGGATACTTTAAAACCACCTTTTTCGCTATATTTTTAAGACCTTTTAAGGCATTAGTAATACAATGAATGACCTCAGTAATAGTAGATTTATGCCTTAGCCCCGCTTCACAATCTTTTATGACAAACGAACTCATTCTGGACCATGGTATTTCAAACTCTTCCCATGGGTTTTCAGATAATCTTTCGGTATCGGGAGTTGATGCTCTTGAAATACTACTCAAAGATGAGTCACTAACGGACAAGGTGTCAGCGCTTGCAAAGGAGTGAACAGGCTCTAATGGTACGGAAGGTCCATCATACCAGATTTCATTATCTTGTAATAACATTAATGTTTCTTTTTTAATATCCATTAATGTGTCGTCGTCTTCAATCTCTGTACCATCAGATTCTAGGACAAGAGACGTACCATGGATTTTCATCTTCTCGGAAGCTATATATACACAAATACATTTTTAGATAACATACATTTTATTTAGGTTTAAAGGTTAACCTTTGGCAATTAATGCATCACGTATGTTCCCCTTTGTCTCTTCTACTGCAACAAACAATTTTAAAGTTCGAGTCAAATTCCAAAGCTTGAAACGTAAAACCATCGTGAAGAACCTGAAATATAAAAAATTTACGTAGCCATGACACTAAGATTGGTAACCACTCACTAATTACATGTTGTACAGTGGGTACCTGATTTTGTATTCCTCCGGGTGTGAGAAAAGATTATATGGTTATATCATAGTAGGTTGGTAAACATGAATTTATTTTATACACTTTACAAATTATTACATATTAAAAAAAACTTAAATATTTTATCAATTCATGACCAACGAAAAATATATGATTTTTGCAATACAATCAAGCAACCGTAAAACAAGTTTCAACAACGCAAGACGAAAATATTAGTGTTGCATGTGTTCTAATATTTGGTAGCATAGGTAGTGTCGCCTTACAGCTCCTCAAAAGGAGCAGATTTAAAAGAAAATATAATCTTATCGTTTCTAACTTTTACCATCATTGGTTCATGTGTTAATAGATTGTTAAAATGACAGCCAATCAACTTCGTAGGTGTTTCTACGCCACATTCAAAAAGACCTTTGGGTTTATTTTGGAAAATTTCGACCATATTTCCAACAAAAAATAAGTCATCATAACATTCATTGACTACCACATATCTTACCAAACATAAAACGAAATCATCATAACGATTTTTTTCACAACATACATACATTCCAGCTGAATAAGTTATTCCTCTAAAAACAGATTTTTTACTAATGAATTTTTTTCCCTGAAACGTACAATGACTAGCTACATACGACAACATGTCTTGGTCGGAACTTTGACAAGAAAACTCAATTGCATCGTTACAAGAAACTTTATCCAAAAATAGAACACTAGAAGAAGCGTGAAGAGCTTGAAGAAACTGATGCTTTTCTGATAAAGTATGAAGTATGTTTTTAAAGTTTGGAGAATGCTTCAAGATACTTTTAAAATAGCGGTGTTTACTTTCGAAGCGAAGTGTCCAAAGATGCTTCAAAGGACCAAATTTTTTTATTAGATATGAATAATGAGAAAAGTAATGATGTTTTGGTCTTAATGGGATTTGCGGAAATAAATTGACTCTAGCATCAATATATTCACTGATTAGAATTTTTAAATAAGCAACTTGACCAATAGATATGTTTACAGAAAGTAAAATGCTGTTTATTTCTCGTAACAACAAAAGCATTTCCCAACATGGATTATCGATTTCCATATCATAAAGTGCAAAAGGTATAACCAACAATAATCTTAAATTCTCGCTAGCACTGCCAACTAATTTTTCTCCTTTTTTAATTAAAGGAACGTTCTCATATTGAACATCACTATTGAAACGTACTGTCTGGATTTTTTCGTTCAACATGTCAAGAGTGAAATATTTTTTTGCAATCAGTTCATTAATGCAAAGCATGAAATCGTACTGTAGGATGCCTTCATAAATATCGTGAGCTAAACATGGTGGCAAACCCGGTGAACATACGTGAAAATATTCAGACTGGTTTAATACTGAGTTACATTTAACTCCATTAGTAATCTCTCCTAACATTGTACTAATTGTAACATCATCTTCATATGACGAAATAGTTCGATATGTAATAGAGTCTCTTTTGTTTAACTGATTTTTGTTTGCATAACAGTAACGACAAAGATGATTGCTTGTACTGAAATTTTCAGTAAACCCACCAATTTGGTGGCTCCCTAAATTATCCCCAGCAACAGCTACTAATGTACCCTTTACAACTTCGTCATTAATTTGAACACCTTTAGTTTCTAAGTGAATTATGTCAGGCATAATGGTATTAAAAATTTTTTCAAAACCAAATTTTTTTACATGTGAATCTAGACACAGGGCTACTAATTGGATCTGATCAACTTTAGATCTGTTATAGGGGGGAATGTTGCCTAAAGTCATGTATATGCCAACGATTTTATGTATTTTTCGTGAAGATCCTAACGGATTACACACCTCAAAAGAATCTTGATACAGTATGATTTGTAAACCATTAGGATTGTTAATAAAAAAAGAGTTCGTTTTGTAACATTCCCCACTACAAAAATCCGTAAACAGTCCTCCCTTTGATCTAGTCTGTGTGAAGCACTGTTCATACAAATCACGATTGCCGATTAGAACTTTAATGGTATCTATGATAGATACATACGAAAAAAATAACTTTTTATCATTACACGGTTCTTCAAAATAAACGTCCATGGGCGCAACAAAGTTAAAATTATTTCGGTAGTATTGTTTTCTTATGAACGGTGATCTCAATATCCCATTGGAAGGTCGATGAGCTATTTCAAACAAGTTTTGGTCACGCATAATCTTTGCAATATTTGACTGACCATTTTGTTGCAGTATGTGATCAATATTATTCAAACTAATTTGGTTTAAATCAGAAATTCCGTCAATAATTGCCTGTGATGCAGCATCTGATAGGAAAAATTTAGCTTGCAATATCAAATATGTCGAAGCCAAAGATTTCAAGTACATAGAGTGTAAATTTATTGAGTTATTGGAAGAGATAAAATCTAATACTTGACTATCGTTACCCGAAAGATTATCACGAAGACTCTCAAAATTGTACTGTGGATCAGGTTGTATGTTCTGTACATGATCACTAATAGAAGTTTCATTTTTAAGTTTCTTGTAATGATGCCGATAGAAGTGTGATTTAAAACTCGCTACAGACTGGAAGGCACAACTGGTAGTACATTGTTCAAAAGGGCAAGTTATGCTTTCTTCTATTTTAATGTGTTTATACATATGAGAAACCAGATGATGGTAAATGTTCGTTATGTAATTACAGTTATTAACATTGCAGAAATGTGTCTTATCGGTACGATTTTTTTTCGGATTTGAGTGTTTAAGATGTAAATGCATTTTAAAACTTTTATATTTGGTATATTCATGGAGACAGTTTGGGTATTTGCAGTAAAATCGAATATTTCTAAAATTTCTATGGCTGTATTGATGAGAATTGTATGCTGTAAGGTCACGTAATTTCACTTTGCAGATAGTGCATTCATACATTTCTCTGTCTGAAAATCAAAAAAGATTTTAATTAGGAACAATCGATTGTTGACATTGCTGTTCACTACTAGACAAATACAAGCTATATGTGGTTTATTTATTATCTGTTATATTTTCTTCAGGCATAACAAAATTAATGATAAGCTACAGAAGTGTAAAATAAAACTTTAATAGCTGAAGCTGTATAAAATTGTACTTTTACAATCGTCACGTGGGCATTAAATGTGTTGCCTACGTGATAAATGCATTTATAATGGATAATGGTAAATTTATACATATATTTGTACTAATCTGTATCTAAGTAATAAAAGGGCATATCTCCTAAACTGCAGTTTCAAGTAATAATAGTAATATGCGTTTAAATAACAATAAAATACTTTTTGCACGCTTAAAAGTAAGGTTAGAATTCACGAGGCAAGCAACAACTGCTTTTGAGAAGTTTACTATCAATGAATGATCACTGATCACTCCACTTGCTAATCAGACACTTACCTTTATTGCTTGAAGGTCCCAAATGATCCAAATCACATCACATAAATAAACAACGGTTAAAAAACACCAAAACCGTTTCCGTTCAACCAAAGCTGCTTACATGGGGTATCGGCTATAGTTGAATTCATGTATCTTTTTACACACGTGACCAAAAGCTAATGTCCGAACTAATAACTGTTACTTTGTAGTAACTAGTCAAAAAGATGACAATGTTCATAACGTCAACATGACACTAGGGATGGGCAGATTCGGTCATCACTACGAACGGGTCGTTCATCGTTCGGTCCCTACGAAGACCCGGTCGTCAAATGTCGTTCATTTCGTTCATTTCGTTCATTTCGGTCATTTCGGTCATTTCGTTCACCGTTCACTTCGTTCTTAATCATTCAAGGCTCAGGGATCTATTGATGAATCATTCGGTCTTTCGGCTCTTCGGTCAATGGTCTTAGTTTCCCTTTTGCTTGAATCCGATCACTTTATAGGGAAGGTCATGCTCAGAACTATCGCATAGGTATTCGAAAAAAAAAAACCCGGCCCATTGCTGTCTTTTTTTTTCGAATACTGCATTGTGTGCTACGTCAAATTAAATCGTTTGAAATATATTATGATCTGATTCGAAAAATTAATGATTTAACGTTTATTTGGTTTTGTCTACATTTAATTTTTTTTAATGCCTCCCATTTTTTTAGAGATTCATGTAACGATTTTTTTCCGAATTCTGTGATGTATAAATAATAATTTAATATTTAAAAAAAGTAACTTGAATTTGTGGACGCAAATAATTGTGTTAATAAATACATCAATAGCACTTTTGACACAAAAGTTAAATTCGTTTTTATCACAGCTTCCAAGCAACTTTTGAGTAAAATATGGCATATGCTAAATCAAAGAATTAAAAAAAAACTAGAAGAATCTCTAAACAATGTAGACGGTGTATTAAAAAAAAAGTTGAATGTCATAGACAAAAACAAATGAACGTTAAATGTTAAATATTCTTATTTAATCAGGTCGTAGCATATTTAAAACGATTTAATTTGACGTCACACAATCCTGTATTCTAAAAAAATAACACGGATTTTTTTTTTATTAATAATCATTACAATAGTAATAATAATTCTTAATTTACATTTATTTTTTTAGTTTCTAATGTTCAGACGTTTATGAACATTGTATAGTAGTTATCGTCATAAATTGTCATTTTTGTTCCCGGTTCCTAATTTAAATTCATACTACTGGAATTAATCTGTCTGGAAAACTTACGTTCTTAGTTAATTTCATAAATAGCATAGCATGTGCTCCTAGTATTGGATACAGAACATAGAACTGTGCTGGTGCCATGATTCAAAGATCCAACGGAACCAAGATCCAGTCGAGACAATGTGAACGGTGAACGAGTGAACGAGTGAACGAAATGAACGAAAGAACGACTAGTTTGCGTTGGGAACGATTTCGGTCACTCGTTCATTCGAACGACCCGTTCAATTTGATTCGTTCGTTCGCGAACGACACATCTCTACATGACACAAATGTGTAGGCTCAGGCAGGTCTTTTGGTTTCGGTGCTTTCCGATTGGGTCGTGATTTTGTCGGACTGGGAAAGACGCCGAGTCTTTCTTTTCGACTTTTATTAATCTTCGAAACCGTTCGGCGGGTAACGCCTAGAGCATCTGCAACTCGCTAAAAATTTGAGCGAAATTATTAACCATGAACCTTCAAGTGGTTTTTACTTACTTGTTCTGTACCATTTAATGAGATTAAAGGACCACCGTTTCCCTTCTCAAGAGCAATATACTCTATAAAGTTGGACACGATGTCCTGGGCACGGGAACTCAAACGTTTGCCCTCCATGTTGTAGACCAAACACGAACAAGAAATAAGATAACAAAACATAAAAAATAGGACAAAGAAACAAGAATCCTAACAACCAACGAACTTTACGAAGAACTGAACAGAAAACTTGAATAGAACAACGAAAAACTGCGATTAACCACTCTGAGTAAAACCAAAAATGACAGTGACGTTTGATGAAAAATCGATGAATTATTAACAGTCACTAGATTGACTACATCAGTGCCTGTCGCACTATGTGGACGCATTTATTACGTATTTTATCTTTTTCTAATTCAAGGAACTTTGTGGAAGAGAATAACTGACGTAAAGCGTAATTTGGCCTAATTTCGGTAGACACACTATTTGTCTGGCTCTTGGTTTTTGTAATCCTTAAAACAAAGATTCTTATGGTAGGTGCTGTCTGAGCTTGTATGATACTTCAGTCACGTGTGTCAAAAGATACATGAATCCAACTATATTCGCTTATTGGCTCTCTTGCGCTTGCCCTGTGTTAATCAGACAACACGTGTTAATTGTGCCTACGTTTTCTCAAAGTTACTTATAGTGACTTATAGTGGTTTCCGTTTAACCCCCAACTGCAGAAAACTTAAAACACTCGTAGATCATATCAAATTAAAATAATACTCCGAATAATTATCAAAAAAAGACTTATTGTCTGCACGCGAAGAAGGGCACATTATGCAATCACCGAGGGAGTATGTAGTTTACAAGCTGGGCCGTGGGCAAAATTTTAAATACCAATAATACTACGAATAGAAATTTACATTATAGCGCACACAACAGTTTATACGTTCATTATGATTCTGATCAGTGATCAGTATACTTACTAATTAATAATAATAAATAATTATTGATTGAATAGTAGGTGTGTCCACAAACGTCCGATTTTGCCTCTAAATACAAAAATTCACATTAATCTGGGAATATTACACTCCATACAATATATAATTTTTCAGATGCTAATTGACATAATACATTATTGAGTGTAAATTTTTTTGCCGTTGTGGAAATCTAAAACTAAGATATAATTTTACCACTTATTAAAGGAAAATTTAACCATAAAGAATGAAATTAAACTCTATAAGGGTAAATTTTTTTTAAAAGCAAAAAATTCCCTAAAATAACATGGAAATTTGCATTTACATCAAAAATACGGTAATTTCACTCCTATTCAAGGTGTAAAGTTTACAGAAGCCTTAGGTAAATTTACCTATATTTTTTACAGTGTAGGGTTGGCTATCGTAGCCTGCCCTTTACCCTTGGGGTTTATCCCGGAGGAGGATGGAACCGGTTTCGGCGGGTCGGTATTCGCCGCCTCCGCCTGCAAACGAGCCTTCCTCCGCCTTTTTACCTCAGCCCCGCAGATTCGCTTCCTCCTAGGAGGCTGCGACCCCACATTGGCCGGGTTTTCTGTTTGAGGTGCACCCGAAGGCACTTCCTCAGTGGTTTTTTTATTATTATTATTTTCCATGATCTGGATTTTGATTTCGTCCTCCTGCGTCCCCACCCACCACGGAGTCCAACAAGGGGACGTCGAACTTCGACGTCAGGGCTAGCAGAAGGATATAGCCCCCAGGGAAGCTCATCCTGCAGTACGCAGCCTCAACTAGTGAGGTTACTCGTGCTCAGACTACACTTCCCCCAAGGACTCACCCTGTCGGCGGTCTGACCCGACGACACAGCCGATTGATCTGAGATGGGTTAGTCTCGACCTCCCGTTTTGGTGGAAATCCAGGCCAAAGAGGCGTGTTGCCCAGCCTTGGTGACACACTGCACCAAGGGGGGCTCAACCTCCAGGATTCCTTCATCCCACCTTACGGGTCTCCACGCACGGCACAAACACGCGGGAGCTTGTCCGCGGGGCTGTTTTGACGACCCCACACCCGGGGTTTAATCCCGGGGGACACGTTTATTTCCAGCCCTCCTCTACTGAATCGCCTTCGCGGCCGTCTAAGCCGACAACCACCAAGGCATGTCCAGGCAAGACGAGCCTCAGCCCTAACCTACATATCTGGAGAAGGGAAAAATCCAGGTCGGACTTCCACCACCCCCAGGAGTGTTTAGTTCCGGGGGGTATATCCGCCCTTCCCAGACCTCCCTTCCCCAGACAATGCCGGTCTCCCCCTATCCGCAACCCTGGGGAAGCGCCTGATAGGTAGCTCAACCCACAGGTTGCACGTAGATGTTAAATAAAGTTGTTGAGGTAATAACATCTGTATGGCAATCCATAAGTTCACTTATATTAAAGTCTCCACAGAGTAACAGAGGATAAGAAAAATTTACAACGTCACCTATATAGTCAAATATAGTCATATACTCAACGTTGTTGAGTGAAGGCAGTACGAGCCCTAACAACTAAATATTGGGACACAGACAATTTCTCAAAAAAATCCGGTACATATTTTTGATATTGTTACGAAATACACCCTTACGCCGCCCCAATACGACGCCTATGGCCGTCGAGAGCTTTTTGATGGGTGAATCATCACTGCTGACGGTGTCGACGGCCGAGCGGTAGGCGTATAAAGACAGGTCTGGGGCCGTCTCGAAGCAGCGTCCAGGGAAGTCTCGAAGCGGAGTCGCGATGGATGTTCGTGAAAGATCTCGATCAGAGAATATGGGTTTAAATAGAGGCGACCTTAGGTAATGGGGGATTCAGCCAGTGAAGACAGTCAAGAGCGCCGGAATAATTTCTGTACATATCCGTTGCAATAGATAGTGTTGTAATTCGAGCCCAAGAAATAAATTTTTGAGTTTTACCAACGCCCGATTTATTATTCGTCAGTCAAACGTAACACTGGTGTCGGAAGTGGGATCAATTGTGACATAAATCGGGATTCGAATTTGGTTGGTGCTACTAGGGGAGACCGGAACAAAGTGAACTTTCGAGAAAATTCTCTCCCGCGACATCCGTCAAGACTCGAGAAGTTTCTAGAAGAAAATTTTATGCCGATTTCCACAAGAGCGCAAACAGCCAACATGGAGGAACAACTGACAAAAATGATGAAAATGTTGAGCGAAAATCAAAGAATAATGGAACAAAGTAGAAAAGAAGATCGAAGAATAATGGAAGAAAATAGAAAAGAAGATCGAAGAATAATGGAAGAAAATCAAAGAATAATGGAAGAAAGTAGAAAAGAAGATCGAAGAATAATGGAAGAAAATAGAAAAGAAGATCGAAGAATAATGGAAGAAAATCAAAGAATAGTGGAAGAAAGTAGAAAAGAAGATTGAAGAGTAATGGAAGAAAATAGAAAAGAAGATCGAAGAATAATGGAAGAAAATCAAAGAATAATGGAATAAAATAGAAAAGAAGATCGAAGAATAATGGAAGAAAATTTAAAAGCCATGCAAACTATACTTTTGAACAGCCGAGGCGAAATTCTCCAAGTCGTGCGAAATGAAGTGGACGAGGTGAGAAATGAAATGGAAAACAAGATCAAGGAGCTCGAAGAAAGGCTGCAAACACCACGACACCTGCAGAATTCACACAGGTGAGAGTTCAACCCCCTATTTTTGATGGGCAGACGTCGTGGACTACTTATAAGAAGCAATTTGAAGCTGCGGCCTTGTCGAATAGCTGGAATGACCAACAGAAAACGACCGCTTTGGTAGTAGCACTACGAGGTGCGGCCCTGGAGATTGAAGATTCCAACAGCGCGTGGTCATCTCCAGTTGTCTTGGTCACCAAGAAAGACGGGACTACCCGATTTTGCGTCGATTACAGGAAACTGAACGACGTCACGAAGAAAGACAGTTACCCCCTTCCTCGAATAGACGATACCTTTACGACCTTATCCGGCTCGGCGTGGTTTTCGACCTTGGACTTGAAGAGTGGTTACTGGCAAGTAGGTTTGCACCCGGACGACAAAGAAAACACTGCGTTGTCCACCGGAGGTGGCTTCTATCACTTCACCGTTATGCCCTTCGGATTATTACCTCAAAAATAGATAGGCGACCAATATGCAAACTTGACAAAACACACGTTTTGGAGTGCATTCACTTATAGAAGTTGAAGGGAGGAAACAAGGCCCAAAGTCCCTGTAACCAATTGTGCCGTAGTGGTGGTGTTAAAATAAGAAGTAATTGTTGACATTTTGCATTGGTTTTGATAATAATTAAACTATTATCTTTGTTGTTTCATTTGTTTTTATTGTGATATTTTCAGTTCCCGAGTATTCAGCTAAGAATATTGTAATAGGCGTAAGATCTTCTCAAACCGAGAACAGGCAAATATTCGCTGAAAATGACAACAAGCAGAGCTCAAACGCAGATCCAAGACGACGAGGTTTTCTACAAAAAAACACCCCATATTTGATTATTAAAACAATACTTTGCAGATAATACTAATACCTACGGTACACATTACTCAAGCAGGAACAGAATATAAAAATATTATGAGACGAATTTGGCGTGCTTGTAATTATTGGATCAAGTGTCCCAAAGACAGACAAAAAATTTATGGCAACATTGGAGAAGCATTTTATAATGTTGCCCTTATGTATGTAAACAGACTGTGTTGATGTACTGGTTTAAACACATTTTGTTTTGTACTTTTTTAGTCTAGATGATATAGAAGATTATACAATACTTCGTCGAGCAATTCCTGCGGCTCATATGGTTTATGGAATTAAATTGACGGTGCAAGTCACGATTTACAGGGCTATTCTTTCACTTGAAGAATTGTTCCATTATTTGGAAAATAGTAAGCTAGGTATGGTTGTAGTTCTTGTAAATACTAATCTGGTAATTGAGATTCATTTTGTAAATATTCTCGTCTAGCAAGAAGTTACTGATGGATTTATTAAGATCGGAATTTGTCTGCTTACAGGACAAGGAGTAGACATATACTTCACGGATATCGCCCAGTGTCCTACCTTTGATGACTACAGAACGACAATTTATGGCAGTAAGTTAAAATTTGTCATCACTTTGCTTAATTTTAATATGTCATTTTTTAACATGTTTTGGTTTTAGAATCTCGCGCTGTTTTGCACTGGGGAGTTCGATTGTTAGAATTATTTGCCAAAAAGGAAAAGATCCAATTCAGTGCAAAATTTTGGGACAATTTGGGTTATTTTATAGCGATATATGACGACTACGTAAATTTGCACAACCCTAAGGTAAGCAGATTTTTACTACTTTTGAGTTTGGTTTAACTCGTTTCGTAGTGAGCAAGCGTTCGGGTCTACTGTGATGATCTCGATGAAGGAAAATTCAGCTTTCCTATGATTCATGCTATTCGGAGTCATCCAGATGATCATCGGCTTTTGACTATCCTTTACACGAAAGATGATATTCATTCAGTCAAAGACAACATTATTTTTTCTTAATTATTTGTCTTAGATGTGTTGTAAAACAGGCCACTGGATTTGGAAAGTAAGAAACTTTTCGTAGATATAATGGAAAGTTTTGGAAGTTTTGAGTATACTAGAAATGTGATGAAATAAATGAAAAATGCTATTCTGGAGGAAATGGACAAAATGGAGTTAGAGAAAAATCCCCATTTGCACCGAGTTCTTGAAGATATATTTACTAAATTAGAAACTGATCTTTTTTTCGACACGTGTAATTAAACCGAAATTTTGTTTTTTTTTATATCTCCACTAATTACTAAAATCTTCATACTTAGGTTGTAACTGCTTCGGGAAACCTGCTGGGAATTAGTTAATAAGTTGTACACATAGTTATGAATTAACACAGTAAAATAAAAGACTATTCATCTGTTCTGAGATCTGATTTTGTAGACAGAAAAATGCGTCCGAAATTTTTATCTAGCGGAACTTTCGCCACAGTCAAACAAATGTTCTTCAATCACTTTTACCATCAAAGGACTATGACTTTGGTGTAAACAGAGATTAGAACGAGGCAGAATTTTATTTGGCCATCTTTAGGAAAAATCGAGTTAACAAAAGAGTTGGTAGTGTTTCTACAACCGTCTCTGGTCACAATTTCTGGTAACATCACTAAGATGAGTCTGTATTTGATATTCTGTTAATTAAAAATTAAAGTATATTTGAACAAAAATTAATTAAATTGTAATATTATAAAAAACGACCTACTAATTCCACTGTACCGGTTTCTGTTGGGTCTTGCCAATTTAGCTCCAGTGGTGCAAATGCTTTGTTTTCACGGTGCACTTGCTTGGGTTTTAATTTTGCAACAGTGCATTCTTTGGTTCCGAGTCTGAATTCTCCATGTCGTCAGACGCTCTGGCCTGGGGGGTTTGTGTTGACCCTTAGACGCTGGGTCATCATCCTATAAGGATGAGGTCAGTGGGCCCTGTATTTATGCGGCTGCGTTCTCCCTTGGCCGTGTGAGCGCTGCGACCTATAGATTTCGTTCGGTGTGTTTGCTTGGATTTTCATTTTGCAACATCCTCAATTTTTGGTGCAATTTCTTCCGGTGGTGTATTGTATCTGCATTGTATCTGAATTGTGTCTGTATCTGTAGTGTATTCTGTATTATGGTTAGATTGTAGGTACTTGTATTTGATTTCTGTTGTATTGTACTGTATAACGTTCTATCCCTCATTAACAAATCCTAGCCCTCTCCTTTCCTAGCGAGATCTGCTCCAGACCTTGCCGTGGTTCGTGCTGAGCATCAACTATCGAGGACAGAAAATTCAAATTCAAAATCAGCAAAGTTTCACAAAAATCATGAAAATCGCTCGTTGGTGGCCAACATGGAGCAAAAGAGACTTTTGTAACTCAACTAACTTTGTTAACTTTATATTCTTAAATTAACAAAAATATATTACATTTAACTTATTATTTATAAGGACAAATAATCATTTGCCACACCGATGCTCATTTTTAGATTAAATGCTCACAAAACGAGTAGATGTTCAGTTTGTGTCCGGGGAGATACAGTGTTTCCAAGCAGGTACTCAGTACATAGAGTAGTAGTAAGTATATAAGAGTAATAATGAAGTAGGTACTTCGTACTTCGAATATGAGTATCTACTCAGTTTTATTCATACCGCCCAATGTCTCGCTTCAATGTTTGATTATGTTGATTATGAGCACAACGCTGATCAACTTCCGTATCGGAATTACCCATGAAATAAATCATTGCGGATTGACTTCGTGGACCTATGTCAGCATGCCGTCTTCTCGGTATTGTAATGAACTTCATAAAACGACTGAATTATTTTCACAGCAAATCAAATATGTAAATTTTGTCCTGAGAATTTTAAAATACTGAAAACTTCAAATTAAATCCTCGAAAAACGGTAAAGGTTGAGGTTTTGTCGAAACCAACAAAGTGAATATAGGTAAATAGAATGGCAGATCAAAATTAATAAGAAACTTTCGCAATGTGTAACTAAATTTACTTTAACCAAGACTTTTCTTAAAATAAACGACGTTTTTTTTTACGAAAAAACAAAGAATTATTTGAAATGCAATATACTTTTCACAATCGCACGGAAGAATTAGTTTTGTATGACACGTCAGTTAGACGACAAGTCCATCAGGAACGCCAACTATTGAAATTAATTCGAAGTGGCGATTCCCATACAAAATTTTTAGAATTGTTTGATTTTTTAGCTGTCTTATTTTTTGTAAATTTTCTTGCATGCCAACCTTGTCCTGACAATAAGGGACACATAAAAAAAGAATCATCCAATTTGGTGCAGTTGTTCTGAAGTTATGCGCGTACATACATTTCGGCGATTCATTTTTATTTATATAGATGCATTATTATTTTAGAACAAATTTCATTACCATAAAAAAGGTTATATTGAGTCGACCTTAAAAGATAGACATGCTGTCGCGGACTTTTCTTTAGAACTTTTAGAGGGGAACAATTTCATCATACATGATTTTTACGTAACTTTAACCGTTTAAGCAGTGTAAGCAACGAAAGCTGTCAAAGGAGGAATAATTTTCCCGTTTTTCCGAATTTTTTATTGCGACTTCGCTGCTAATGATCGTAGCGTGATGTTATATAGCCTATATGTAGATACGATAAATGGACTATCCAACACAAAAAGATTTTTTGAATTTGAACCAGTAGTTTCTGAGATTAGTGCGTTCAACTAAACAAACACTTTAGCTTTATAATATAAGTATAGATAAGAATTAGTCAATTAACAATTAACTAACAAAACATCTCACGTTATGGTGGGTGTGACCGAATGTTCAGATGAGAAGACTAGTATAATTAAGATCGAACATCTTAAAGTCGTTTGACCTGTTTAATTATCCGTCTTCTCATCTGAACATTTCTTTATCTAATTAGGTAGACGTTTAAAGAAATATTGTTGCGCCACTAAAAAGTATGTATATATTATGTCGTACATTTATAATTTAGGTAGGATGCAAATATGTATATCTCAGTATTACCAAATGTCTCTGTAATCGATCGATACGTCTTTTCAGATAGTTCTCATGCGATTTCTTTTAACAGAGACCGAGATGCATGATCTGCTAAGTACTTATTTTTGGAACAAATCTGCCGAGCTAACCTATCCAAATGTCGGTGTTTTATGCTACCCATTCTATTAATGAAAGACAATGTAAGGCGGCTTTGAGTCCTAGTACTTGCTAAAATAAGCCTGACTTTGGTTGATGACATTCCCTCTAAGAAAATAAAGGGCGGGTGGGTGGGGCTACTACTTGCTAAGATAATACTGATTTTGCGAATGACCCCTTCTAGGAAAATCAAAGGGTGAACCATTTGCCAAAATCAGTGTTAACTTAGTAAGTACTAGCCCCGCCCACCCACCGTCTCTTTTCTCTTTTCAAAATCAATATTACCTCAACAAGTACCAGGTTGCATCAGTAAAAATTTCTATCTTGTCGAATTGTGCTAGAGCAAGTGAGCAGGTGGTCCTGCCACCGCAGTAAATCGGAAAGGATTTCCTCTAAAACTGTCATGATTTTGTTATAATTCTGGTTATTAGTTTGTAATACCAACACTTTTTGTCTTTCAAAATTTTTCAGGTATAGCCTCCCATATTTTACTACTGGATAAATTGACACCAAGATACCTACCAACCGTACAAATTGTCGGATTTTACATTTTTTTGTGTTAAGAAAACGGAGATTAAGTTAAATGCTCAATTACGTTTTTCATCTGGCAATCTAATACGCATGTTTATGCTGTCAAAGATGTAACTTAAACATTTACATGTTTAATTTGGCTGCAACCAACTTTTTTCATAATTGACTAGAAAATCCAAGTGTTCGAGAAGGGAGACAGTTAATTTGACATATTTCCAACTCTTCTCCTCAGAGTTTCCAAGAATAAGAAAATCATCAAGATATACTTACTATTTAATGTCTAGAGGTTACCACAAATAACAGTTAGCAAAATAAACTTAATTGTAAGTAAGTGTAACAAAGTAAGTTTAGGCAATTTCATAATTCCCAAAGCAGTTACAACCTAAGT